TATTTAGGGTTTTCTCCACTAGTGGCCGATTTAAGGTTTTGTTTACTAGTGGCCGATTTAAGGTTTTTTTCCGCTATTGGCCGATTTGGGGTTTTGTCCACTAGTGGCCGATTTGGGGTTTTGTCCACGAGTGGCTGATTTGGGGTTTTGTACACTAGTGGCCGATTTAAGGATTTGTCCACTAGTGGCCCATTTGGGGTTTTGTCCACTAGTGGCCGATTTAAGATTTTTTCTACTAGTGGGCATTTTGGGGTTTTATCCACTAGTGGCCGATTTAAGGTTTTGTGCATTAGTGGCCGATTTCGGACTTTTTCGACTAGTGGCCGATTTAAGGTTTTGTCTACTAGTGGCCGATTTGGGGTTTTGTCCACTAGTGGCCGATTTAAGGTTTGTGCATTAGTGGCCGATTTCGGACTTTTTCCACTAGTGGCCGATTTAAGGGTTTGTCCATGAGTGACGGATTTGAGGTTTTGTCTACTAGTGGTCGATTTAAGGTTTTTTCCACTAGTAGCCGATTTAGGTTTTTTTCCACAAGTGGCCGATTTGGGGTTTTGTCCCATAGTGGGCGAGTTAAGGTTTTTCCACTAGTGGCCGATTTGGGGTTTTGTCCTCTACTTACCGATCTAAGGTTTTCTCCACTAGTGGCTGATTTATGGTTTTGTCCACTAGTGGCCGATTTGGGGTTTTGTCCTCTACTTACCGATCTAAGGTTTTCTCCACTAGTGGCTGATTTATGGTTTTGTCCACTAGTGGCCGATTTAAGGTTTTGTCTACTAGTGGCCGATCTGGGGTTTTGTCCATTAGTGGCCGATGTAAGGTATTTTTCACTAGTGGCCGATTTGGGGTTCTGTCCACCACTGGCCGATTTAAGGTTTTGTCCACTAGCGGCCGATTTGGGGTTTTGTCCAGTAGTGGCTGATTTAAGGTTTTGTCCACTAGTGGCCGATTTGGGGTTTTGTCCACGAGAGGCCAGTTTAAGGTTTTTTCCACTAGTGGCTATTTTGGGGTTTTGTCCCCTAGTGGCCGATTTATTGTTTTGTGCATTAGTGGCCGATTTCGGACACTTTCCACTAGTGGCCGATTTGAGGTTTTGTCCATGAGTGACGGATTTGATGTTTTGTCCACTAGTGGCCCATGTAAGGTTTTGTCCACTAGTGGCCGATTTGGGGTTTTTTCCACTAGTGGCCGATTTGGGGTTTTGTCCAATAGTGGGCGATTTAAGGTTTTATCCACTAGTGGCTTATTTGGGGTTTTGTCCACTAGTGGCCTTTTTAAGGTTTTGTCCACTAGTGGCCGATTTGGGGTTTTGTCCAGTATTGGCCGATTTAAGGTTTTGTCCGCTAGTGGCCGATTTGGGGTTCTGTTTACTAGTGGGCAGTTGGACGATTTTCGCCAGTAGTACTTGTTTGGCGATCTGGTCCTCTAATGGCAGCTTTTTTGAAACTAATGAGAACTCTGCTGTACAACGATGAACGAAGGTTGCTTATTTGATTTGTAGATATGAAGCAACTTCAACAGAGTAATTTGTAGCTCTACGCCTGCGAGCAGATTGTTCGCCTAGTCCCTGTGAGTATGCGCATTAGTGTCCAGTTTTCCCAGCGCCGAATTCAAGTTGGAATGCTCAATCAAGCAGTTTTCAACGTTTTACTGGAATTTTATCGGAAAATCTAGGAAGTTTAGCTTCGTTTTTATGGATTATGGTCTGCGAGGAACCGATAAGGGTATGTTTATATGTAGTCTCGCGCAGTAGCCTTTTGTGCTCTATTTTTTTTTACGAAATTTACGGCGCAGAATTTGTTTCGGGCGCGGGATAAATAACTTATTAGCGAGTTTATACGTTTGGAAGCGAAAATGATCTTTTTGTTAGACTGGTTTGGAAAATAGTTTTTCAGAGTGATTCGGTAACAGCAAAAGTTTCAGGCGTTATTCGATTCACCAAAAAAATTTTTCACCAGGTAGGCAGACCTGTCCGATCGATGTTACGAGGGGAATTCATTTGCCTTCTACACTCAGAAACGACTTTTGAAAAATTTGAGTGAGGCTTTGAAATTCAGTTGAAACCGGTCACGAAAATTCTTGGAATTCTTGTATTATTTGATTTCAATTCTAACGGCGATAGCAGCTTTGGAAAAAGAAACAAATCAAAAGTTTTCCATATTTGTGATATGCTGCTGATGTCCAATGCCCACCAAATATTTTTATATGCGACATTTCTGTACAAAAAGTTTTACGGAAGAGGAATTTTATCAATGATAACTTTTAGAGGGTAAGCATCCAAAAGTGCCTCCACACCACATCAAAATAGAGATTTCTAGTGGTACAAGATACTATTGCAAGTTCCTTTTAAAAACAAATAGACTTTGTACTACAAGATAATTTGGATTTATCAACTGAGTTAACAATGAAATTTGGCTACCATAAGGAGTTTGTAAAGCATACAGGCCAATTTACATGAACAATCCAGTTAATAAAACCAAATTATCTTGAGATTCCCCTCACTTGCACAGCACCGCAATTTTGTTAAAAACTTTCACCTTTTATCATTGGTATATATTTATTCAAATATATCTACTGTGAGGATCATGCATCACACGTATCTAATACCGCAGTTCAAAATATATGAACTTCATATATACATTGTATCTGATTATCACGGGTTTATTACGAATCAACTTA